CTAGGATGAGAGGGCATAATCTCCGTAAGATGTAGCAGCAGAAGTAAAGCATTCAGCCCCTCAACTCTCCTCTGCCATTCAACGAGATCACAGACATTCTATTAATCCTACATTCATATAAAGGGTCACACATTTAAGACAGATGAGGAGGAATTTCTTCTCTCAGACAATAGTGAATCTCAGTATTTCTTGACCACACAGGACTGTTGAGGCTGGGTCATTAAGTATCTTTAAGGCTGAGATAGACAGATTTTTAATCAGGATGAAAATTGGGTATCTGGAGGAAAAGGCAGGAAAGTGGAGTTGAGCGTGATCAGATTAGCCATGATGTCAGTGAATGGTGGAGCACTCAATGGGCTGAATGGCCTATTTCTGCATCACTGCCTTATGGAGTTCTTGGTCAGTGCAATGAGTATAGGAGTTGGGACATCATGTTGCAGTTGTACGGGACATTGGCGAGGCCACATTCAGAACACTTCACTCATTACCGGCCTCCCTGCTATTGGAAGGATATGATGAAACTTGAAAGAGTTCGGAAATAATTGACAAGAATGCTGCTGGGATTGGAAGGTTTGAGCTGTAGGGAGATGTTGAATAGGCTGGAGCTTTATTTCCCTGGAGCATTGGAGACTGAGGGGTGACCTTATAGATGTTTATAAAATCATTAGGGGCTTGGATAAGGTGAATTAATAAGGTCTTTTTCCCAGGGTTGGGCAGTCCAAAACAAAAGGGCATAGGTTTAAGGTGAGACGGGAACCATTTAAAAGGGACGAGCTGCCAGGGGAAGTGGTGGAAGTGGGTACAATTACAATATTTAAAAGGCATGTGGATGGGTACATGAATAAGAAGGGTTTAGAAGGATATGGGCCACATACTAGCAAATGGGAATAGATTAAATTAGGATATCTGGTCAACATGGACGAGTTGAACTGAAGGGTCTTTTCCATGCCATATGACTCGATGGTCTTACTAATCTATTCAGTCCCACACTAATCACTAGATCCTTGGATATTATTTACTGCAGGGACACTCTTGTGTTTTGATCTATGAATCCTTATTTAGTTTCTCTGCCGTGTCTCTGTATTGATTTGATTTATTGTTGTCAGGTATGGAGATACAGTGAAATGTGTTGTTTTGCGTGCTCTACAGGCAGATCGTAAAATACAAAGTGCATCAGGGTCACAGAATAGAGTACAGAATGTAGTGATACAGCAGCAGAGAAAGTGCAAAGAGAGAGATCAACATTAGCTTTTGAGAGGCCTGTTCAAAAGTCTAGTAACAGTGGGGAAGAAGCTGTTGTTGAATCTTATCGTCCGTGTATTCAAACTTTTATATCTTCTGCCCCACAGAAGAAGTTGGAAGATAGTATAACCGGGGTGGGAGGGGTCTTTAATGATGTTGGTTGCTTTCCCAAGGCAGCGGGAAGTATGGATGGATCAATGGATTGAAGGCTGGTTTTGGTGATGAAGTGTCTGTAGTTTCCTGTGGTTTTGAGAAGAGCAGTTGCTATTATATGTCTGCTATTACAGATTCTCTTGTCTCTGCCTATAATGGACCTATATTTGTCTTTGCTAATGTTTTCCACTTTACAAACGTATAGAAGCGCTTCTGCCCTTTTTTATGTTCCTTGCTATTTTATACTCATATCCTATTTTCTCTTTCTCAGTTTCTTGGTCCTCCTTTGCTGAATTCTGTGTTAAAAGTTTGATACAATTGAAGTAGTTTTAGTTCTTTCTGATTTTCAACTGCGGTCAGGGAAAGTTCTGGCTAGGCATCATTCAAATAACTACACAACAGGTCAGGATGTACAAAACACAGATCATGAGAGAATTGAGTGCAACCCTCCA